CCATCCCTCTTGTCGGAGATCAGGATCCTATACAGCCAGCCCTATCTCATTATTGCACAAGCACTAGGAAAGCGATACCCTTAGTGTCGCTTACTATGGGTGACCGGGTGACCCCAGCTACATTACACTTTCATCTGTTCACAAGGTGGAGGGGGCTTGGGATGCTCCGGGACTACAGAAGTCCCTTTCCTCTGGGACACTGGGCTATTTTCGTGGAAGCAAACGCCCATCCACAGCCTGTTATTATAGGGAGCCCATTGACTACACAGGAGTGTCGCCCTACATCGCTGCATCCAATGCAAGGGATAAGGCAGATGGCATTACGATGACACGCGGCACATCACATGCAACGAAACGGGTCCAAGCCCGAGCTGGTGTCACACACATAGAAGTGGAGGGGGAGGCAGAGGACGGCATCAGCAAGCCTAGTGAATTCTTCCCCATACACTCACCGAGTCCTGGAAATCAGCAGGCAGTGCTGAGCTCCATGTCTCCTGTCTGTGTCGCTGCCAGGGAGGAGGCGGAGGCAGGATGTGCACGCACAGGTCCTGAATCATTCAGACTAAACCTGGGTCACGTGGCCTCAGACACATGCATTATTCATCACATTACCCTGGAGAAGGGACTTAAGTTGTGATAGACTGGGAATAAGATGGCTGCTGCTTGGGGGGATCGAAGGGTTAAAGTGAAAAGTACATTTGGCAAAGCAAACCTTTACATATCATGCAGAAAGAAACCTGCAACAGCAGAAGGGTAGGAAGTCAACCAGGCTTAGTAGTGATGGCGAGTTCTACCAACCAGTTAATGTTTAAAAAAAAATAAATATATATACATATAGTATATAAGCAAGCGCAAAATCGAGAACAAATCTGAATATGTAAAAAACATAAACGTGCAGCGCTGTTAAAACCAATAAATAAATACATATATAAACATGTAAGAAAGTGCACACAAATATATAAAGTGACACTGTGCATCTATGTATGTGCCACTAGAATATGTGGCCAATATAAATGTGAAAGAAACACTTTCTAAAACATAAGTCCAGAGTGCAGGCGTGAACGAGATCTCAAATGATCTTCTGGTATCCAAAAGACACAGATTGTGGATAAGGTGAGACAATTAAAGTGTAGATCGCGCACTCACCAGATACGCAACCTTTTTGCGCATTTGTATGATATAATAAGGACATCAGACATCTCATCAAAAAGGTCTGGTCAGATCTGGTCAATACCTCCTTCGCTATCCCACGGTTTGCACTTAGCCTTCCCAAATGGTAACCACTCTGCGGATGTACCTGGCTCCCACAGGAGCTCAGAAAGAAACAACAGAGGAGGCCAGTAGTGCAATATTGCCTTAGGATGTTTATTCCACACAATGGGTATGTATACAGCAAGAAAGCAAATAAAATAGATTACTGACCGATTGCAAGCTGCCGCCGGGACCCCTTGTGGTGCCGGCGGTAAGGCGTCAAAACAGCTACAGCCCGACACTGACGCGTTTCGAGCAAGTGCTCTTAGTCATAGGGTGTCCAGGCCAGGAGCTGTTGACGCCACACTGTCCTTGAAATAGTGGGAGTGGTGCATGTATCATTGCCACTCGCCATCTTCCCAGAGATGTGTCCTTACAAGCGGCGCCATTTTGGCGTAGTCCGGATATGAGTATACAGGCAGCTGCTGGCACTTCAGGGCAAAGGCAACAGTCCCAATATAAAAGTGTATAAATAAATAAGGCGCACAAACTGTATGAAAATATTAATATGGTAATTCTCCTAAAATATATATGCTCAAGTGGTATATGCAAAAAAAATAAAGTGCAAATCAGTGCGGCTGTGCATATAAGTGAATCAATGTCTATGATATAACTATAAATCAATCAGCAAATATTGAACAATAATAGTCCTCAAATTGATTGCAATGCATCCAAGTGAAAAAGTGCAGATGTAAAAGTATCCACGAAAGGAATCCACCACCTCAGATGTATGTACAGGTGAAACTCGAAAAATTAGAATATCGTGCAAAAGTTCATTTATTTCAGTAATGCAACTTAAAAGGTGAAACTAATATATGAGATAGACTCATTACATGCAAAGCAAGATAGTTCAAGCCGTGATTTGTCATAATTGTGATGATTATGGCTTACAGTTTATGAAAACCCCAAATCCACAATCTCAGAAAATTAGAATATTACATGCAATCAATAAAACAAGGATTGTACATAGAACAATATTGGACCTCTGAAAAGTATAAGCATGCATATGTACTCAGTACTTGGTTTGGGCCCCTTTTGCAGCAATTACTGCTTCAATGCGGCGTGGCATGGAAGCTATCAGCCTGTGGCACTGCTGAGGTGTTATGGAAGACCAGGATGCTTCAATAGCGGCCTTCAGCTCTTCTGCATTGTTCGGTCTCATGTCTCTCATCTTTCTCTTGGCAATGCCCCATCGATTCTCTATGGGGTTCAGGTCAGGTGAGTTTGCTGGCCAATCAAGCACTTTAATCCCACGGTCATTGAACCAGGTTTTGGTGCTTTTGGCAGTGTGGGCAGGTGCCAAGTCCTGCTGGAAAATGAAGACAGCATCCCCATAAAGCTCGTCTGCGGAAGGAAGCATGAAGTGCTCCAAAATCTCCTGGTAGACGGCTGCGTTGACCCTGGACTTAATGAAACACAGTGGACCAACACCAGCAGATGATATGGCTCCCCAAATCAACACAGACTGTGGAAACTTCACACTGGACTTCAAGCATCTTGCAGTGTGTGCCTCTCCATTCTTCCTCCATACTCTAGGTCCTTGGTTTCCAAATGAGATGCAAAAGTTGCTCTCATCAGAAAAGAGGACTTTGGACCACTGAGCAACAGACCAGTTCTGTTTTTCTTTAGCCCAGGTAAGACGCTTCTGACGTTGTTTGTTGTTCAGGAGTGGCTTGACAAGAGGAATACAACATTTGAAGCCCATGTCCAGGATCCGTCTGTGTGTGGTGGCTCTTGATGCACTGACTCCACTCCTTGAGAAAGTCCCCAACACTTTTGAATGGCCTTTTCCTGACAATCCTCTCCAGGCTGCGGTCATCCCTGCTGCTTGTGCACCTTTTTCTTCCACACTTTTCCCTTCCACATAACTTTCTATTAATGTGCTTTGATACAGCACTTTGGGAACATCCAACTTCTTTTACAATTATCTTTTGAGGCTTTCCCTCCTTATGGAAGGTTTCAATGATGGCTTTCTGCACAACTGTCAGGTCAGCAGTCTTTCCCATGATTGTGATTCCTACAGAACCAGACTGAGAGACCATTTAAAGGCCCAGGAACCCTTTGCAGGTGTTATGGCTTAATTAGCTGATTAGAGTGGGACACTTTGAGCCTAGAATATTGCACCTTTTCACAATATTCTAATTTTCTGAGATTGTGGATTTGGAGATTTCATGAGCTGTAAGCCATAATCATCACAATTAGGACAAATCACGGCTTGAACTATCTTGCTTTGCATGTAATGAGTCTATCTCATATATTAGTTTCACCTTTTAAGTTGCATTACTGAAATAAATGAACTTTTGCACGATATTCTAATTTTTCGAGTTTCACTTGTACACTCACCAGAAATAATACATTAGGAGGCATCTGTTATAATCTGTCACATCTTGGGGTGCAGGAACAGAAAGGCAGCTTAGGGGTTAATCCTACAGCATCATCCGTATGCAGGTGGGGCGAGTATCCCTTGTGCTGGGAAAGATAGCTCAACCACAGGAGCCAGAGATGCTAATAGTGTAGTATTTATTAATAATGTATATATATATATATATTCACAAGCAATTAAAATGTTCCACGTGGAGTAAGGTAAAAATCAGATACCAAAATGGCTGCCGCTCTGTTCCTTGGCAGCAGAGGTGTGATGTCAGCAATGCAGGCTCCACCCAACGTGTTTCGTGCGACAGCACGTCTTCAGGGGTATGCCCATTCTAAAACACGTTTGGTGGAGCCTGCATTGCTGACGTCACGTTACCGCTGCCGAGGAACAGAGCGGTGGCCATCTTGGTATCTGATTTTTACCTTACTCCACGTGGAACATTTTAATTGCTTGTGAATATATATATATATATTATGATTAATAAATACTACACTATATTAGCATCTCTGGCTCCTGTGGTTGAGCTATCTTTCCCAGCACAAGGGATACTCGCCCCACCTGCATATGGATAATGCTGTAGGCAGGGGCGGACTGACCATTTGGAAACTCGAGCACTGCCCGAGGGCCCGGGGTCAGTAGGGGGCCCCATGAGATGCCCCTGGTACCTTTTTCATAGGCTTTTTTGAGTTTGGGCAAGGACACAGGGGCCCCATGATCCCCTATTGCCCAGGGGCCTCATGAGTTGTGAGTGCGCCCCTGGCTGTAAGATTAACCCCTAAACTGCGTTTCTGCTCCTGCACCCCAAGATGTGACAGATTATAACAGATGCCTGCTAATGTATTATTTCTGGTGAGTGTACATCCATCTGAGGTGGTGGATTCTGTTCGTGGATACTTGCACATCTGCACTTTTTCACTTGGATGCATTGCAATCAACTTGAGAACTATTATTGTTCGATATTTGCTGATTGATTTATAGTTATATTATGGACATTGATTGAGTCACTTATATGCACAACCGCACTGATTTGCACTTTATTTTTTTGCATATACCACTTGATCATATATAATTTAGGAGAATTACCGTATTAATATTTTCATACAGTTTGTGCGTTTATAGCGCTGCACCTTATTTTTATATTTATATATATATATATATATAACACACACACACACACATATATATATATATATATATATATAAAAACACACACACACATATATATATATATTATATGTAGATATATATATAGATCATATATATAGATATATGATATATATATATATACTATATTGAAATTATTATTAGAAGAAAGGATTTCTATAGCGCCAACAGTTTTCTCTGCGCTATATAAATCTTTAAAGTGTTACTAAACCCAGGACCCTGCATTCATTATATCTGGTCTCCCACAGCACACAGAACATGGAAGTGCAAATATTTTAGTAAATACAAACTGCTAAATACCTTTTCTCATCAGCAGTTAGAGCAATGAAACCTCTGACCCTCTGCCTGGACAGTGCTGATTGGCCCTTTTTTGATCACATGCACCCTCAGAAGAAAAAAACACCTCTCTAGCAATACACACCAAACTGAGTATGTGCATGTGACCACGGATTCAGTCTGTATCAGGTGGTCATTTCAACAAGTGGAGGGGCAGAGAAATCAGGATCAAACAGCCTTTTTTACACAATGCAGAGGATTAACCCCTTAGGTTCCACTGTGAGTATAACAAGCATGCTTTACTGCATAGACAGGCTGATTTTATTGTTGTGGGTTTAGTAACACATTAAGGCTAGGTTCACACCTATGTAGTCTGCGTTTGACCTGTTTCTACATTGCATTTTGCGTTGTGTTTTTGCACCTGTGTTTTTTACGCATTTTTGATGCGTTTTGCTTTTTTTCTTGTTGCTCTTGTTGCAGATTTAAAATGCAAAATGCATAAAAAAACACAGCAAAATTAATAAAAAACGCCACAAAAATGCACTACATGCTTTTCTGCAGCGTTTACATTGAAGTCTATAGAACCAAAAATGCAACTTTTTGCATTAAAAAAAGTCCTTGACCCTTTCCAAAACACGCACTGGGTGAAAACGCGGAGATGCAAACGCGTCCCATAGGAAATCATGTTAAATGGACTGTAGTGCGTTTCTGCAAAACACTACAGAAAACGCTTAGTTGTGACCCTAGGGTAATGGCTTCCCAGTCTTGAGTTTGGTGATGTAGCTAAGGGCAGTGTTGTGGATGGCTTTGTATATTGTGTTTATTATTTAAAATTTTATACATTGGGCTAGTGGAAGCCAGTGAAGGGATTGGCAGAGAGGGGTAGCTGTCACTAAATATATATACACTATATTGCCAAAAGTCATGGGACACCTGCCTTTACACGCACATGAACTTTAATGGCATCCCAGTCTTAGTCCGTAGGGTTCAATATTGAGTTGGCCAACTTTTGCAGCTATAACAGCTTCAACTCTTCTGGGAAGGCTGTCCACAAGGTTTAGGAGTGTGTCTATGGAAATTCTTGACCATTCCTCCAGAAACGCATTTGTGAGGTCAAGCACTGATGTCAGATGAGAAGGCCTGGCTCATAGTCTCTTCTCTAATTTATCCCAAAGGTGTCTTATCAGGTTGAGGTCAGGACTCTGTGCAGGTCAGTCAAGTTCCTCCACCCCAAGCTCGCTCATCCATGTCTCTATTGACCGTGCTTTGTGGTGCGCAGTCATGTTGGAACAGGAAGGGGCCATCCACAAACTGTTCCCACAAAGTTGGGAGCATGAAATTGTCAAAAATGTCTTGGTATGCTGATGCCTTAAGAGTTCCCTTCACTGGAACTAAGGGGTCAAGTCCAACCCCTGAAAAACAACCCCACACCATAATCCCCCCTCCACCACCAAACTTTACACATGGCACAATGCAGTCAGGCAAGTGCCATTCGCCTGGCAACCGGCAAACCCAGACATGTCCATCGGATTGCCAGACAGAGAAGCGTGATTGGTAACTCCAGAGAACATGTCTGGAGTCCAGTGGTGGTGTGCTTTACACCACTGCATCTGACTCTTTGCAATGCACTTGGTGATGTAAGGCTTGGATGCAGCTGCTCAGCTGTGGAAACCCGTTCATGAAGCTCTCTATTCACTTTGTTGTGCTAATCTGAAGGTCACAAAAAATTTGGAGGTCTTTAGCTATTGGCTCTGCAGACAGTTGGCGACTTCTGCGCACTGTGACCTTCAGCATGCACTGAACCCGCTCTGTCATTTTAAGTAGCCTACCACTTCGTAGCTGAATTGTTGTTGTTCCCAGTTGCTTCCATTATGTTATAATACCACTAACAGTTGATCGTGGAGTAATTAGTAGCAAGGAAATTTCATGGATGGATTTATTGCACAGGTGGCAACCTATCACGGTACCATGTACTGGGTGTCATTCTGGACTCCAACCTATCCTTCCAGCCCCAAGTCCAATCTTTAACAAACTCGTGCAGACTCCACCTCCGCAACATCGCCAAAATCCGCACGTTCCTAACCCCAGAAACCACTAAACAGCTCATCCACTCCCTCATCATATCACGACTCGACTACTGCAACTCCCTCCTCACTGGCCTGCCTCGCCGCTGGCTATCCCCTCTTCAGTCCATCCTGAACACGGCTGCCAGACTCATTCACCTTTCCAACCGCTCTGTCTCCGCCACCCCCCTCTGCCAATCCCTCTACTGGCTTCCGATTGCGCAACGGATCAAATTCAAAATCCTAACGCTGACGTACAAAGCTGTCCACCATACTGCCCCGAACTACATCACTGACCTAATATCCAAGTACCGCCCAGCACGCACACTCCGCTCCTCACAAGACCTCCTTCTCTCTAGTTCCCTGGTCTCCTCCTCCCATGCCCGCCTCCAGGACTTCTCCAGGGTGTCACCCATCCTCTGGAACTCCCTGCCCCAACCCATCAGATTATCACCTACTCTCCTCTCCTTTAGGCGCACCCTGAAAACCCATCTCTTCAGGGAAGCCTACCCCACCCCCTGCTAACTTGCCTCCCTCCTCCACTCTTCCTACCACTCCATCCCCCACAGCTATCTCCTCCTGTACCACCACCCCCTCCCTCCCAGATTGTAAGCTCGAAAGAGCAGGGCCCTTGATCCCCTCATGTTTTGCATTGTATTGGTATTGTTCTGTCACATGTTCTGTCTCCCTTTGTAATGTACAGCGCTGAGCGAACTATTGGCGCTTTATAAATACTGTATAATAATAATAATAATAATAATTCACTGAGCTCCTGAGAGCGACCCATTCATTAAAAAATGTGTGTAGAAGCAGTCTGCACGTCTAGGTGCTTGAATTTTTACAACTGTGGCCATGGAGGTGATTGGAACACCTGAATCCAATGATTTGCAGGGGTGTCCCGATACTTTTGGCAATATAGTGTATATATATATATATATATATATATATATATATTTTTTTTTTTTTTAATATATATATTAATAGTCCCTGGATTAAAAAATTTAAATATGTATTAAACATGGATAAAGATTCCAAGTCGCCCTTCCATACTGCACATGCTTCATCAATAAATCTAAAATAGCATTTGCAATGCCGTGTGAAAAAATTCAAAATGATATATAAAAGCATTCTCTATCATATCCATGAAAGCATTTGCATATGGAGGAGCGACATTGGAGCCCATCGCTGCCCCGATGAGCTGTAAATAATAACTCTCCTTATATAGGAAAAAAATATCCTCCAAAACAAGTCAAAAGTTGTAGCAAAAAATAAATCTGGACATTATGTTTGTTGAACACTATTGTATATGGCTTTACCCATCCTTCATCACTATTTTGTATGGTGATTTTTCTACATTAAAGTTTTTTATGTGTAGCAATCCGTTTTTCCTCTTTTTCTATATATGCTTTTGGGAGGGCCTCACTGCTATGCACTGTGATTGAATACCATTGCGCACTTCACCCTCATCATTGCTCTTTATATACTGTATACACTATATTGCCTAAAGTATTGGGACACCACTCCAAACATTGTAGTCAGTTGTTCTAATCACCTCCATGGCCACAGATGTATAAAATCAAGAACCTAGGCATGCAGACTGCTTCTACATACATTTGTGAAAGAATGGGTCACTCTCAGGAGCTCAGTGAATTCAAGCGTGGTACCGTGATAGGTTGCCACCTGTGCAATAAGTCCATCTGTGAAATTTCCTTGCTTTTAAATATTCCACGGTCAACTGTTAGTGGTATTATAACAAAGTGGAAGCAAATGGGAACAACAGCAACTTAGCCACAAAGTGGTAGGCCACATAAAATGATAGAGCGGGGTCAACGCATGCTGAAGCGCACAGTGCACAGGTATCGCTAACTGTCTGCAAAGTCAATAGCTACCTAAAGACCTCCAAACTTCATGTGGCCTTCAGATTAGCATAATAATAGTGCGTAAAGAGCTTCCATGGCCGAGCAGCTGCATCCAAGCCTTACATCACCAAGTGTACTAAATAAACCAATAGAAAAAGCGCCACACTGTATAACAAAAATAAACTGTGTGTTAGCAGCAACACCCAACCAAAAAAATATAAAAAATTAATTTGGCAAAGTGAACAATATCTGATAAGGGCATGCGCTAAATAAAAATATATATCACCATATAATTAAGTGTCCATAATAAATCTGTGCAAATCCAAAACAAACTTAAAATATCCTCTGTGAATTCATAACACTGTGAATAATCCACCACCAAATGAATTAGATGGACTCACCAGAGCTTTATGCTAATCAAATTATAGACCAGCAATAGCGCTTGTGCTCTGGGAGCGATGGGTGAACGATATCCAGGTATTAGATGTAGTAATTTTCAATAGTAATCACGTCCAGGTGATCAATAATGGTAATCGGCATAAAGGACAGCATATCACTACCAGAAGCAATACTCTGCAGCCAAAGATCTAATGATGAATCTCTCCATTTAACTCCGTATCTCCATATATGCATGAGTCACACTCAGGGACAAAGGAAAAGACATAATGGTGCAGTACGTTTAAAACACATATATATTTAATAAAATACCAAACAACTCACAAAGGAGGTGTCCAGACAGACACCAGCTTAACCAGCAATGCACAGCACTGAAGTAGTGGACGATCCCCGCTCACCGCGGATCACCTCCGACACACACTGGGAAAAGAGCGTCCTGACGTCAAGATCGAGTAGGCCACGACATGAGTGCCTTACCTCACAAATGTGCTTCTGGAAGAATGGTCAAACATTTGTATAGACACACTACTAAACCTTGTGGACAGCCTTCCCAGAAGTGTTGAAGCTGTTATAGCTGTAAAGGGTGGGCCAACTCAATATTGAACCCTTTAAAATAGGTAGGGGATGTGAGCACACTAAAAAGTTGTAAAAGCAGCTATGCACAAAGGTAACCAAAATAAACCTTGATAGAAACAATATAAAAGTGGTGCAGCACTAAAAAGGTCAATCATATAAAACTGATAAATAAATATATCCGAGTAAAAGTTCATAAATTGGTAAACAGTTCGTAAAAAGTGACTCTAGTGCACCTGTAAATATAAATCCAGAAGTCTACAGGGCAAGCCAGGTAATAAGGTAACTTCC